TTGATTTGGAACCAAAATCCACCCGCGCATTGGAGAAGTCCTAAGGGCTCACTTTTAATTACGCCTGTGTGGTAATTAGTATACCTCATCGCAGAGCACACTTCAAGATTGCCACCACAGTGAATAACTAGTTCCAATGTTTCCCACATGCAGTCTGAAACATAAGACTACTAAAAAACAATTTAAATTCAATTTTAACATTTTGATCAGCTATGACTTTTTCCCTTTAGGCGGGTAGTCTTATTATTAAAAATAAAAACAATATGCCTAACCAATTAGATAGTCTCTTGACTTTGATAATTAAACCACTCATAATCCATCCATTCAGGCGTAAATGTTTGGAAAAAGTATATCATGTCACTTTATATGATAGTTGAAAAGTATAATGCTCCTTATAACATACGGAGTACTTCGTACTACCTCCGTCCCTCTAAGTTTGAGACAAGAGAAGGTGACACGGTTATTAATAAAAGTGAGTTTATGTGATTAATATGGAATTGATAAAGTAAGAATAAAATAGGAATGATTTGGAACCACAAAAAATTTACCAAATAAGGTATGAGATAATCTTAGTGGGACAGACCGAAAAAGGTAAAATTGGACAATCATAACGGGACAGAAGGAATAATAATTTTGAAATAATCATGAGACCGTTAACATTTTTAATCGGGGCACTTAAATTCTCTTTATTAGAGCATCTGTAATGGTACAATGTGCTCGGTGCACTCGTGGCATGAGAGGTAGACACATAAATATTAGTAAATAAATTCTTTCTCTCCTTATTTGAATGATTTTATATTGTTTTAATAATTTTTTCTCCACAATGTCAAGGAGACCGTCTACATATAGACATGGAAAAATTTAAAATAATAATCCCAACTATTGCCGGTCCGCCGATAATAATCCCAACTATTGATTATTTTTGTATAATCCCAACTATATGGACCGTCCGCCAATAATGGTCCGTGACCAAATATTACCTCCTATAAAAAGTGAATTTTAAATAGAAATTAAGCGTAAAAATTAAAAGTTGGGATTATTTATAGGGATTACTTGTTATATCTCTTGTCATCCACTTTAGAAACTGCAACAATTTATTGATAGGGGCCATTATTGGCGGAAGGTCCCTAAAGTTGGGATTATTCTGAAATAATCGATAGTTGGGATTATTATAGGCGGACCGCCAATAGTTGGGATTATTACTATCAATTTTTCCTATAGACATAGACATTGTTGTTGACATTGTAGAGAAAAACTTACCAAAATTGTATAAAATCATTCATATAAGAAAAGAGATAATTTATTGACTAATATTTATGTGGCTGTTACTTATGCCACGTGTGCACCGTGGACATTAGAGCATTGGAGATTTTCTTAGTACATTGTTTTACAACTTTACAACTATGCATTTTAGTCATTAAATGAAATACATCCAAATATGGAAGTTGTTCTTATGTAAACATTCTCTGGCACATATTTTACTTAATTGATGTCATAGGGCACTTTCCAACAAGAGCTCCGTAGAGTGACGCCGGTTCCACACTACTCCCTCCTCCGTCCCTTAAAACTTTGCCATCTTTGAATTTTTTGGTCAACCATGTTCAACTTTGACCAATTATATATCTTTGTAGAAAATTAGTTATGATATAAAAATTATGTGAAAACGTTCTTTGTTAAAAGTACTTTCATAAAAGTATAAAACTTACCACTTTCATAATATTATACTAATCAAAATTATGTTCCAAACTTTACCACCATTGACTTGAAAAGTCAAAGATGGCAAAGTTTTTAGGGACGAAGGTAATAATAACTAAAGAAGGGTATGGCTTAACGGGGGCGGAGCCCGTGGTCAACCGACCCCGCTGCAAGTTTGAGAGCATAGATCTCTGAAATATTTTCGGTTTAAAGCCCTCGTACCTCATTACGAGTAAAAAAGTTATGACTTTTGCAAAATCAGCACTATCTAAGTATCTAAACGTAAAATCAGCAAAATTTGAAGCATACTATAGATTATTGTCTCAAATACTTATGTGACACGACTCAGAAACAGAGCAAAAACAATCTATCTTATAGTTACGAGTGCCTATTATCTAAACTGCATATGAAATATTCAAATCAGACATTATTTAAAAATGATCCACTATTTTCATTCTATATATAGGTTGAGTTTTGACCCCCTAGCCATTTTTCTAGCTCCGCCATTCTATGGCTAAGGGGTAGTTTCCCCTGAAATCTGAATCTTCTCTGCACCGTGCCCCCTTATTCCGGTATAAGTAAATTGATCTATTACTTTGTTTTAATGATTATGAGCCCATTTGGTGACCAAACACGTATGGTCATAGGGCTTATCAGCCAGTTTTTTCAGCAAACACGTAACTTTTAATTTCGCGCGCAGAATTTTGTAATAAGGAGAAAAGGTAAGATTGAAGTTACTTTTCTGTCTGTATTGGCTGAAGTTACTGTAGAAGATCATTATAGCTATTTTCATATAATTTTTTAATTAATTTATTAATAACAAATATTTTAAATATTCTTTTTTCATGAATCAACAGAAACAACCAATACAGCCACTTTAGCCAAAATTTCATAAATTTCAGCAGAATGAGTCAAAACAGCCAATTTTAGTGTTATCAAACGAGCTCTATATTTGAAATTTCACTCAATACACCCTAATAATTCCTAGGCACCTGATGGATTGTGTACCCGGGGATAGCTTATCCGAGGGGTTATTGCGGAAATAACTTAGAGAGAAGTCAGAGCAAACAAGTAAGAGAGAGAGACTCAGATGTTATTAATGAACTTCTGATTTGGGATCCTTTACAAGATGAATAACCGAATAAGGGCTGCTATTTATAGCAGCCATTAATGCGATGAGAATACACGTGTCAACAATCTGACGGCCGAGGGTCACCTCAATCGGGGTGGCAAAGGCAATGACATGTGCACCGCAATAAATGCGGTGGTTGGACGTGACGACGCATTGAATGCGGTGGTTGCTTGTCTCCAGAGGAAGCTTCGTAGAGCGTACACCCTTCAGCCATAGGCATATGGCCAAAGGATGAAGGGTAGCCAAATGCAACAAGTATACCGAGGGCACCCAGTAGCCGAGGGCTACTGTTTTTCTGCTGTTTTCTCCCAGTAGCTTCGTATGCTCAAATCTGGCTGACCCGTGGAATTTGGAGCCCTCGGCCAAGTGGGCCGAAGGCACCTACATGGATACTGTGTGCTTCTTGACACTTGGGCCACTGTGTTTGGACCTCGTGTGCTCATTGGGCTCATTGGGCCTGTGTAGGAGAAGTAGGAGTCTGTGGGCCGGGGTCCTCGGGCCATATACTCAGGGACGGAGCTAGGCTTTGAGGTATGGGGTCAATTGACCCCACTCAAAAAAAAAATCATTAGTAGGTATATAAAATTTTTCAAAAATTTAAAATTGACACCACTGAAAAAAAAGAAAATCATTAGTAGGTATATAAAAATAATTAAATTTTAAAATTGACACCACTCAAAAATAAAAGTTCTTTGTATAGGTGTATATAATGTTTCATAAATTATAAATTGTGTAGCTTGTCTTAGTCCTAAAGAGTCTTTTTCATCTTTTGACAAGGACAAGTTGACTCACATGGCTCAACTATATCCTTCTGACTTTTCACCGGTAGATGTTCTTGCTCTTGACAATCAACTTGAAACTTTTATCCTTGATGTGCGCTCCAACTCTGTATTTATGGATATTACAGAAGTTGTTTCTCTTGCTAAAAAAAATGGTGGAGACAAAGAAATATATTGTGTATCCATTAGTTTTCTTACTTGTGCAATTAGCTTTGATTTTACTAGTGGCGACCACAACTGTGGAAAGAGCTTTCTCAGCCATGAAGATCGTGAAGAACAGGTTGCGTAATCGAATTAATGGGGAATGCTTTGATAAATGATGCCTTAGTCACTTTTATTGAAAAAGATATATTCAAAAGTGTTGACAAAGAAAACATTGTACAACGTTTTCAAAATATGAAAACGCGCCGTGGACAGTTGTGAATTAGTACTTTAATTTATTAATGACAATATTTGCTATATATTTTTTGCTTCATATGTGTATATTGATTATTACTCCCTCCGTCCCTAATAAAACTTTCTAATAGGTTTGACACACAGTTTAAGATAATGGGTATTGTGTGGTGGAGAGAATTGTGCAGAGGAGAGAGAAAAATGTGTAAGAATTGTTGTGAATCACAAATTCTGGATTTTTCGAGATTAGGTATATAGACTGTAGTGTGAAACAAGGAGCTCTTAATCAACGTTGGCCAAATAACAGTTGTCTTAGACTCTTAGTTGTGATTTGTATAAATCCTTAAACTCATTGAGCACGTACATATTTTACCCATTTATTTGGGTTTCATATACATTACCACTTGTGAAAAGGTGATGTGTCATGTTATCATGTAAACTAGGACGGTAGGACCTGATTGTTTAAAAAGTTCCCCCAACAATATTGTAAGTGTTAAAGTTAGGGAGTTTTGCTTTTGTTTAATTTGGAAGCACAGTTGGCCCAATTTTTTAACTGAATCAATTGCCTGCATTCAAATAATATTGGTCAATGACTTCTGTTTTGTAAAAATTTACACTATCATGGTAAATTTAAAGTACGGTAGCCCTTGGTTGAACTTTTATACGTACGAAGATGGTAGATGACTAGATGGTAGGCTTATTGCTTTGGTCTGCCAATAAGACATTTGAAAATAACCATAAAAATCCAATCATTATGATTTCATTTGGGCAAACTTGATTATCATATCATTTTTGTTTTTCGAAATTATTGATATATGTATCTGATATTTTTTACTCCTTTTCACCCTCAACAAAAAAGATATACCAAACATTATGTAGTAGTTATAGTGCAAATGATCTCAATTTTGGGATAGGGAAAGGGTAGTAAACTTCCATAGAGGAATTGTGCATACCAAACATTATATAAAAAGCTACTAAGTGCTTATCATTAATAAGTTTTAAGGCAAATAATTACATTCAAATATTTTGTATGTGTTCAAAATGAATAATGAAAGTAGGAAACTATGTGCTCCTATGTCTTTTTTTAATCTTTAGAAAACACATTCTACACACTTTTGCAGATTTGTGCACGTACATAGAAACAGCCATACCAAAGAAAAACCATGTTATGGGAAAGTGCACCACATTCTCAACTGGTTTAGAGATCCAACATGAATAGGAAATTGTGAAGAACTCTACCAAGAAAATGCTAGCTTCCCAAATCTGGTGTAAAGTGTGGAGCGCTACCAAGGGATAAGCCATACCAATAGTCATGCTCACTGAGGTAACCACACCAATCATGCCCAGTGTGGAAGCCACAGTAGAAAGAGTTTTGGCAGGCACACCTTTTTTGATAATAAGTGCGGCAATGTTGCAAGCCATCTCGATAGTAGCCATGATGAAAAAGAGGAGTTGTAATCTAAATGGGAACTCTTTCTTTTCTTCTCCAACAATTTTGTTGTCATGAGCTTCTTCTCCTTCTCCGATGTCAATACGATGTTCCGCTGCTTCCTCTTCCCTTTCCTCTTCCACTTCTTCAATCTCATTAGTAGCCCCCCTCGTCTCCTCCACCTCCTCACTCTCTTCCCTTTCTTCTTCCACTTCTTCAATCTCATTAGTAGCCCCCCTCGTCTCCTCCACCACCTCACGTTGCACAATGTCTTCTTCAAAGACTAGCCCCAATAGCACTAATTTATGGAAACAGTTTTCAAATTAATTATTAACAAATGTAAGTAATGAAGTATACACCTAGAGTGGAAAAATAAATCTGCTCCCCAATTATGATAAAAAATCTTGCCCAAAAGTGCTTTAAGGAAAAAATAATTATATTGTGAAAATTTAAGAAACTTGTGACTACAAACTTGTGTGAGAAAGACGCAATAAAAGTATAATTTGGGTTATACAGGATAATAATATTAAAGTACACTCCAAAAAAAGTAACCAATAAAGCACCTCTTGCCCCTAAAACATGTATGCATCAATTCTAAATTGACATGCTAATTTTGACTCAAAGTATATTCACGAATATAATGAATGATGCAATAAGATGGTCCATCTTTCATTAAATGAAACATTTATGGATGTGACTTGAATACTAAGCTAGTTGAACGAGTGCCTTTCCAAAATATTTTTACTTAGAACTCGAATGACAATTCAAGACACAGACATTTTCAATTAAAGCACAAAGATTTTGGTAAAACAAAAAAGGATGCTCCTAGAATGAGGGAGAAGGAGATGATTTAGGTAATATTCAGCTAAAATTGGTTGGGATTTTGTCTTATTTAAAGGGTTTACCAGCTAAGACCCAAGAGCATTAGATTTTGTCTTATCCCATGAAGAGATCTGGTCTCTGTACAGAAGGCAGGGTAGGCCGGAAGGGCTGGTGTTGGCCTGTTGGGTGAAAAGCGAGTTATCAGCCTGATTAAATGAGTTGCCAACTCACCCAGCAAATTCATGATTGGGACTGGGCCGCTTATCACTATCGGTCTTTGATGGTCCACTAAGCTACTGGGTTGATCCCCCAGCCCAAAGGGTTGAGTGTTTAACTCTATTAAGCAATGCATTATTTACCATCAAACGTACAATTCCATTTAAGCTTTATCTAATATGCACAATGCATAAACAAGTAATAAACACACGTCTTGAAACCAGTTGAATACGTGTCCCTACTGTCCAAGCTCATTGAGTGGTATGATTTTCCCGAGCTAGGATATGATTATGCAAGCTATTTTTGCAACAATTGATATATTTTCAAGAGATCAAAACGAAAGAGATCAAAACTAAAAAGAAATTATTATATATAATGAGCAAACAATATGTGGCATTCTAAGTTCAATTTTTATACTCAAATAGCCATTAGAGTAATTTTGTAAATAAACTTCATTTCACTCTTATATTTGAAAAAATTCAATTTAAAAACATCTATTGTGCATTTACACCATTTAGGGATGTTTGCAATTGCTTTTGCTTAAAAAAAGCACTTTTTAAAGGGATTTAGGGAAAAGTGTTTAATCGTAAGAGTTTAATAGCAAAATTCATAAAAATGGAGCATATGTAAATGCACACATACACACACCAAAGATCTCTATTTTATTAAATCAACCAACCTTTTTCAACCTGCTCCTCCATGTGTGCTCGCAAGTATGTGTCCAAAAGATCTTTGGTGAGCTCCACATACAACTCTTAAATGATACAAAATATTGGAAGCACAATTAGTTTTTAGACAAGATTTTTAACCTATACTCCGTATATCATTTCATCCGTTCAACAATGAACTTGGGTAAAAGAGAATTAGTTATAATACTCCATATTATTTTAGATTATCATACATACATACATATATATGGACTTGTATGCCGGTTTTTGAACCGGAACCATAACCGGAATCGCATAGTTCAGTTCGGAACTGGAGGTTCACTAAACCAGGTGCACTAAACCAGTTCGGTTTCCCCAAAATGTGGAATCCGAACAGGGTTTTGCAACCTCCTTTTTAATTAAATATTCAATTATAATATTATTTATAATGCTAAAAAAGATAAAATCAATATTAATATTATTAGTAATAGAATTAACAATATAAGAGTTACTAGTTACTACTCCTTAATTATTACTATACTAGCAATAAGTATCCATTATTTATTAATGATTAAACTATTTTAGAATAATAGAATTTAAAATAGTATGATTTTACAATCGAATTTATAACCATGTAATTATTATAAATGAGTGATATTTATTCTTTTGGTTACTTTTTTATTAATATATTTAAAAATACTAAACTTAAAATTTTAAAAATAAAAAAATTAAAAATGGAACGGAAACCGCGCCGGAACCCAACCGGTTTGGAACCAAAACCACCGGTTCGGATTCCACATTTTAAAAAATTTGGAACCCAACCGGCGATTCGGTGCGTGTTCTTGTTCAGTTCCGAACCAGGGACAAGTCTACATATGTGTGTGTGTGGTGTGTGTGTACACGAAACATATATATACACACATAAATGAAAGAAAATAATGTTCAGCCGTCCGATCATGACCCCCTCCCCCGTCTGGTCGCCGCCGTTTGAGGTATTTCCTAGAAGATGTTTTTGATAAAAAATTTGTGAGCATGTTATTAATGTTTTTTAGATTATGTCAACAAAATTTCAGCTTAAAATATCAAACAGAAGGCCATGTTTATGAATAATTTATTCAACAACCTCAAAAAAATGCTCACAAAATTTGATTAAATAAACTCTGCCGGAAACCATCTCAAATAGCGGCGGCCGAATAGAGGGTTTTTTATCTCTCCGATTGAACAATATCATTCCTCAGGATATGACTATAAATAAAATTTAGGTTGAATTAGAGTTTGCACCCCGCTTTATTGTTCAAATTCGTTTTTGCACCCCGTTTTTTAAAAACTTTGTAATTGCAATTCAACCCGTATGGAAAGACAAAATGCCCCTCCATTAACAATTATGTTGGTCTTCAGCATATTCCTAATGAGTGCATTTTGTGTTTTCATATGGGGTTATGGTGCATATACAAAGTTATTTGAACAATAAAATGGAATAGTAATTCCCCTAGAATTAAATAAATACGGATTGTAAAAGAAATTGTTGCTTGGTCACCTTTGTCATATTCAAGAGATTCCATTTTCCCAAGTATAAATCAGTTCAAGGAAGACCTGTGAGATGCAACAGAAATCGAATAATGATAAAAACAGGGTAAAGTCATTAACAAAAAGTAGAAGGGATAAATAACAATAAACCCCAAAAACTTACGTAGTATAAACTATAAAGCTAGCAAGCCGCATGAACTATTTCTTTAAGTGTATAACATTTCAATTAATATATAGTTGAATTATATCAAATAATTTAGGTCAGATTTCATAAATTTCAGCAAGGCTTGCGAGATTATGGTGAGAATGCTCGATCAAAACATTATGCCTCCAGTCTGTCTCGGAGTACAACAACCCCAGCTAGAGAACATTTGCAGAAGCTCGATCTTACTATCGCCGATCCTATACTACTGGAGATCGAGAAGGAGAAGCCCATTGAAGATACATACGAAGTATAACCATTAGAAATTAAAGCTTCCGACACAGAACCGGGCCCGGATTCACCACATGCCTCTTACAACACGGAGAAACGGAACCCACTTAGGTTCGACCCGAATTCCGTCCGGCCCCTCTGGACCCGGCTCACCGCGACTCTCTTCCCCGAGCACCAGAATCTCCTGCCTCGACTTTGCCCCATCATTGCCGCGGTTGACTGAACGTCAACGTCAAACGCCGGAGTTCGAGCCACGGCCAATCCGTCAAGCGCGAAAGTGTAGGTTTTGAAAAAAAAGAAAAAGGAAGTGGACTAAACAGACGGGAAGCTGGCCATTACATCATTAGGGCTGAGGACAAATTAAAGGGAAGATATGTGCTTTTCCATTTAATTTGATAACCTTAATTACTCCGTACGTATTTAATGTTAATTACAAATTAAAGGGAAGATATATATTGTACTGTAATAATACCTGGCCTGCAGCAATGATGAAACCGGTCTCAGCTCAAGATGATGAAATGTATGCTTGAGAGAGAAGCAGACGAGAAGTGAAATATCTCGTGGCCTGAAAACCTAAGGGAAGAGGCCGGCCAAGAGGGACCACATATTATCTGAAAACAAAAAAAGAAAACTGCAGCTTCGCTGCGTACCAAAAGAACAAAAAAACAAGAGAAAAGATAATGGGATCTCAATGGACAGCTGCGGTAGATGGAAAAGAAGAAAAAGCAAAAATACATGTTCATTATCATTGGTCATTTTTCAATCTTAATTTTAAGGTTTTGTTGTAAATTATTTCTTCAAATTCATAGATCATGTAGGACTGGGAGCTAAGGAGGTGTATCGATGTAATGTCAATTGATGGAGCGAGCTAAGTACGTGTAAATGTGTAGTTAATTATAGAGGTATATTTCTAAAGAGATCAATTTTGACACCACTTATAAAATAAAATGACTGTCCAAATACAACTATTAAGGATTACAAAATTATTGTAGATTTTTAAAATGTGTATCAAACTATTTATCAAATTGAAAACGAAATTATTTAACAAAATCTCAATGTTAATAATTACTCGCTAGCTCTATCCCTATTTAAAATTCTCACTTTGACATGTACTCATATTAAGGAAATTGATTTTTAAGGGTTAAATTTTATTGTAGATTACATTGTTTTAATTTGACACGTACTATTTTGTACCTGTTTTACACTGTGTTGTCGTATTATTTAAGTGTTTACCGTGTTTACCAAATAAGGAAATAGTACATTCGATCTTTTGAGACATTCAAAATAGGAAAGTGAAAATTTATTTGATTATTAACTAAACATATGCCCAAGTATCATCAAATTCACAAATCTATCTTATACTTTCACTTTTATTAAAAAAAAAAGACCCAAACTTCAACTTCTCTCACAATTACACATTGAATGGATGAATTAGTAAAAATTAAGAAGAAAATTATATTTATATTTCATGTTTTTCACTTCTTTTTAGTTTTAAGTTTACAAACTTGTATTACTTATATCTTATTGGTATTGATAAAAATGTGTAATTTTGTAAAAACAAAAAACAAAAGAATAATTGTTGAAAAAGATGAGGTTTGAGTATTTTTTTGATAAATGTGAAAGTATAGGATAAATTTGGGAATTTGGTGATAGTTTGGGATAAAATAAGCTAATAATTCAAGTATATTAAGGAATCGATGGAGTATTAAGTAGAGTAAATGCTCTATATATGAACTAGGATTGGAATTGAAGTAAGTGAAAAGTCCATAGAAGTAAATGAAAATGATGCTACCTTATCCCTAAAAGCCTCGAGCAGTGACTAGACAGTTAACTGTGAAACTATATTATACTCCCTATATATGGTTATATATAGAGAAATGTTGTTTGTACACAACAAATTGTACACAACATTTTACACAACGGTCAAATTGTCTGTATACAAATAATATTTTTTCATTTTGTGGAAGAATCATTTTTCACACCAACGATTTCAATTGTTTGTGACAAACAATTTTTTAGTCGGTGTGAAAAACGGTTCTTTTCACAAAACAAAAAAATGACGTGTAAAATAATGTGTACAATATACGGTGTACACAGAATTTATATGAAATTTTATTTGTTAAAAGTATTTTAAAAAATATATAAAATTATACAAAGTACATTTCGCATTAATGTAATAATTAAAATCATTATCCTTATTAAAAAAGTTAAATAGACCAAATTTAATTATGAGACGGAGGGGTATTATATATAAAGTATTGACACTAGTGTAATGTGTTTGTGGATTTGTCCCTGGCCTGCATGGATGAATAAATAAGCCTTACACTTTTTTCTTTGATTATTTCTAATTTTCAATCTCTCGTGATTGTTCTTGAATTGTAGTTAACTCCAAATTTCTTTTTCAACCATCTCCGTGAATTGCCATAGATAGTTTATTAGTGGTGTTTGTTTAATTAGTTGTATTTCATCATCATGTTAAGCTAAATCAATCCATCTCAACGGAATTTGGGTTAATTAAGTAAAATTAAATTAAAAAATGTTCATGAATATTGAATTCTGTTTGAGAAACTATTCCATTTTTTAGGTAATACATGGCATAAAATAATAAATAACACTTTTAGTATGTCACATTGGCTTTGCATATATGGAAGTCACCGTTGCAAGAATTTGGGGAAGAGACGAAGAGTATACTGCGTATATGTAATGAGTACTACTGATGGGAGAATATATGATTCTCAGGTTGATAGTGAAAAGTGGTGCACCACATACGAATACAGCCATACATGCCAAATAACATGTAATACTACGTACAACCTTAATTAAGCAAAGCAGAGAAACGGGAATAGAGATATCTGCAGGGATACAGCTAGCGGACTGAAAGAAAAAGCCAGCAAAAGATTGAAAAGAACAAGAAGAAGAAAAGGGGATAGGGAGCATCTAGCCTCTGGACGAAAAACACCTGCGATAAAACAAAGAAAAACACCTGGGATAAAACAAAAATCCATGCTCATCATCCTTGGTCAATCTTTTAATCTTATAAGTTACCGGTATAAAATAGGAAAAATTGATAGTAGTAATCTCAACTATTGTCTATTGATGATTCGTTCATAATAATCTCAACTATCGATTATTTCAGAATAATCCCAA